CCTTTTATTGAGTTTTGTAATTATAATTTATATGGCTCTTTCTTGTCTTGAATTATTTTCCTAATGTTTTTTAGCTTGTTTTGAAATAGAAGGTTGCAATTTCGATCTGTTCCTGAGGTCTTTCATTATCTGTAAAGATGTTATTCTGCTCCTTATACTATTTTTTTAAAAAAAATAACTGCATGGGATGTGACCTTGATACTTTTCTGTTGCTCATTTCTATGTTAAATTAGTTTCCCTGAACTTTAAAAAGGGGTCATGATGGTTCAGGATAACTTTTCTGATATACAGAGATCCCTTTTCTGTTGTTTTTGTAACACAGTATTAAAAAATATGGTGGGCTCCTTTCTCCTTCTCCCCTTTTATATGGGCCTTTTCTTTCCTTTCCACCATTGTTTCTGTCCTGCCCAATTTTGATTCCACTCCCAACAGCTTTCCTGCAGTGTGGAACCCTATCCTGGAAGGCAGCTTGGGTTAGTAGGTTGGTTTTAAGAATTTATATGGCTTAGACTGTTCCAGCCTTTTTCAGAACTTACCTTTCACTCGTTCTTGTATTGGGTTAAACCTTTTCCATTTTCAGCTTCTTTTCTCATACTGGCCTCCATACTGTCCAGTGAATATCAGGTGGCTATTTTGATGTTCTCAGGTCCCTCAGATGCCTCCATTGCTTCCCTATGTGTACTCCTGCACAGATTTCCATGCAGGTTTTGTGGTTGTTGGGGGTTTTCTCCACTCACTTGTATTTTGAGGTTTGTGTGGATACCATGTCATCTACTTGTGTTTAAATGTTGTCCATGGGATTTTGGTTTTGCTCTCTTAGTCACTATCTTTGATTTTAGGTGGCGATTCAAATAGATTAAAAATCTGTTTCAGCATTTGCCATCTACCCTGATTTCATTCTGCATCCATATTTTAAAAATTCCTCTGTATGGACTTAGAGTTTGTGGCCTCTGGCCTATGACATGCCTACTGTGTTTGTGCTTTGTTCTAAAGCTTTAGTTCAAATGTTATTAACCTATTGGTGTTTGTATATTGTAAAACCTGTCAATGTAGAAAGGGTTGGAAAGAAGCAGTGTATCATTATAGTGGAAATAAAAGTATTTACAGATTGTGGCAAAGTTGAAAGTGATGCAAAATGCATGTGTTTATGGAATGAATTAATCTATAGCAGGAACTTTCTGAAGGCCAGAGAACAAATTATGCAACCTATGATGTTGAGCAGCAAGAGACAAGGAAAAGTGGCTGATGGGAAAGGGGCAAACCTTTCTGTTTAAGGATTACCATCAATGTCTGATTTGGGGAGATTAAAGTTCATTCAGGGGAAAGAAAAGAGTTGATTGAAGAATTAAAGCCTGAGGACAATGAAAGTGTTGCTGTTGAACTTTGGCCACAAGCCACAGAGGGTTATTATATAAATTCAGGGCTTCTTAGACACCTGCTCAGAATCAAAGAGAATGTCCAGTGGCTAGTGCAAGCACTAGAACTGCTAGGGCATTCCTTAGTTACTGGGAAAGAAAGATACTTAAAGCTTTGACAGATTTTTTTTTTTTAGTGTGGTCAAAACTGTTTTAAGGCGGGGGGGGGGGGAAGCCTGATAATGACAAAAGGATCAACTAATGTATCTGCTGGAAATGCATCCAGGGACTGTAAGCATAGTCCCTTTCCAGTCACTTGCAAACAAGTTGACATCTTTTTTTTTTTTTTTTTTTTTTTTGTCCTTTTCGTGACCGGTAAGAGGATCGCAACCCTTGGTGTGGTGTCGCCTGCACTGCGTTCAGCCAGCGAGCGCACCGGCCATGCCTATGTAGGATCCAAACCCATGGCGGAAGCGCCGCTGAGCTCCCAGCACTGCACTCTCCCGAGTGCGCCACGGGGCCGGCCCAAGTTGACATCTTTATACCTTTAGGAACCTAACCTGGTAGTAAATAGGATAGGTTCTGTACAGTATAGACTGAATAATGGCAAATTATTTTATAGGAAATGTAAAACCATTATTTTTAATATCAATCTTTCAAAACAGCCCAGGGCAGAAGGTTAAATCATAGCAATGAAAATATTTCTGCAGGGAACTAAACTAATGAAGTCTAGCTATACACACATGCAGAGGATCAGGGGCATGAATGGAGGATAGTATGATGGAGAGGGATGAGGGAGGAAAAGACTGGGAGTGATTGAGTTCAGAGGGGGAACCAGGAGCCAGATCATGTAGGGTTTTATAGGCTGCAATTGTAGGGACTTCCGATTTTATTCAAAGCTATTTGGAAGCTATTAGCAGGTTAAGCTCAGAAGAAGAATGAGCGACTAATGTACGTGATATGTTCAAGCTAAATGGAGGCCAAAGGTACCATGATATGCTTTGTAATATAGACATGTCAGAATGAAAAGAACCTGGGTTAAATATGATTTAAAAATTTTTTTTGAAATTTCATTGTGGTTTCAGAATTATTTAGGAGCAACAAGCATGAGGTGTTGATACAGACATACACATATATGTTTCTTTTTGTCTGTTTTTCAACAGAGTTTTGGTAAATAGTACTGTACTTTATTTCATGTACTCTTTATTTCTTTTCTGTTCTCTTTCATGCTAAAAAAAAAAAAGGTAGTTGCAACTCACTAAATCAACTTAATAACCCGCTAATACATCAGAACTTGAAGTTTGAAAATCACTGTTAAGTCTAGTATAATTTCCTTATTTGACTTGTCCAGGCACACATTACTGCAAATAAGCAAGCCAGGATCCAGATATTACTGCATTTCTTAAGAATATATTTATTAAAAAACAAGATAAACAACTTTCTTAAACAGTATAACAGTGAGTTCCAGTGTAGAAAAAATTTTGAGGATAAATGTTGCTACTTGAAATTATTGCTTCTTCCTGTCTGCCTTGTGTAAAATGTTTAGGGCCTGCAAATTTCAAGTGGACTTGTAAAATATCAATGCATTTTTAAAAATTAATGATCCATAATTAAATATACAAACTGCCAGCTGAAGTAACAGTTGATCTATTTTGATTTATAAAAACAGAGTAAGTCATATATAGACAGCCTGGTGGCCTTTAAATTGAAATGTGTTGTGTTTCATTTTGGAAAAGAGCTTGTGGAAGGATTGAAGGATAAATGGAACATAAAAGTCAGTGTGATATATTGGGGGAAAATGGTCCTTTTAATTCTATTATTTGTATCCTTGCTCCTGTGTTCTCCAGCTCTGTGACCCATGGAAAGATACTTAACATGCCTGCATCTCACTTTTCTTATTTATAAATGAAAGTACTAATATGTGTATCATAGCTTTAATGTTAAGGCTAAATGAGGGACTTATGACATAATGTATATTTTAATATATACATATTAGGTGTCTCTTCCTTAGGAAGGAATTCTGTGAAAATATGTTGCTAGAGTAAGTAGGGGTGGAGAGTGTAGAAAATGCAGAAATAAAAGTATATATATATTTTTTTTACTAGGTATTGTCTTCCTTGTAAGCCTATTGTGTGTGATCACAATTGTGGCTAATTTCTTTTAGGATTGGTATGTGATAAATAAGTAGTTTTCCTATGCCTCCTGGTACCCCTTCCCTTTTTAAGGAGGGAAAATTACTCAAGTGATATGAAAAGCAAGTTTGGGAGGCCAAGAAGTAGTACTTTCCTAGTTAATTTCAGTGTTTTAGTTTCTAGTGTCTCAAATCTGCACAAAGAATTTACTGAAGATCCATCAGTCCTGATACCAAGTTAATGTCAGCTAATTGATAGCTTTAATTATAGGTGTTACCTAAAACTAATTGCCCTTGCTTGTGCAATAAAGAACACTTCCTTTGATTTATTTAACCCAGACATCCTAGGAACAAAGTTACAAAGTCAGAGTGAGATGGAAAGATAGAATTAGAATTTTGTTTAGCTGGCCTTTTTCTTTTCTTTTTTAAGTAACAGGTTTATTGAGATATAATTGATATACTGTACTATCTTTTTTACAGTGGGGAGAGCTGGCTGGTACAGGGATCAAACCCTAGACCTTGCTGTTGTCAGCAACATACTCTAACCAACTGAACTAACTGAACTAACTGGCCAGCCCAAAGTTTAACTTTTTTGTTGTTGTTGACGGTACTATAAAAGTACCTTGTAAAGCGTACAGTTCAGTGGTTTTTGATACATTCACAGATCTGTGCAACCATCACCACTATCTGATTTTAGAATATTTTGTCATCCCTAAAAGAAACCTTGTATCCATTAGTACCCATTCCCCATTTCCCCTCTGTCACCTCAGCCCTTTGTAATCACAAAAGTACTTTTTGTCTCTATGGATTTGCCAATTCTGGATGTTTTATATATGTAGAATCATATAATATGTGATCTTTTGTGGCTGGCTTCTTTTACTTAGCGTAATGTTTTAAAGGTTCATCCGTGTTGTATTATTTATCAGTAATTCATTCTTTTTATTGCCAAATAATATTCCATCATATGGATCTACTACATTTGTTTATCCATTCATTAGTTGATGGACATCTCGGTTATTTCCACTTTTGGGCTATTGTAGATAATACTGTTATGAACATTTGCATACAAGATTTTGTTAGGACAAGTTTTCAGTTCTCTTGGATGTATATGTAGAAGTAGAATTGCTGGGTCATATACTAACTTTATGTGTGATAAACTGCTTTCCAAAGTGATTGCACCATTTTGTCTAGCTGGATTTTATTTATTTGTTTGTTTGTTTGTTTATTGGTGGCTGGCTGGTAAGGCAATCCGAACCCTCTGAATAACTAACTAACTAACTGAGCTAACTGGCCAGCCCTAGCTGGATTTTAAATCACCTGATTTTAGGATTGTAATTTCGTATGTGTTGAAGGAGAACCTTACCTGAAATGAGTGGTTTGAATTGGTAGGGGAAAAAAATCCACTTGCAGTAGTAGTTTGCAAAGTTGGGAGGACTTTTTTTAACAGTAGGTTTGGAATTATTCCTATTAATCTTTTGTACCGTCTTTTTTTTTTTTTTTTTTTTTTTTTACAGTTTTATCTCCAAGACACTAAAAGTAGTAATGGTACCTTTATAAATAGCCAGAGATTGAGTCGAGGCTCTGAAGAAAGTCCACCATGTGAAATTCTTTCCGGTGACATTATCCAGTTTGGGGTAGATGTGACAGAGAACACGCGGAAAGGTACGGGTATGGATCAGTTTTTCCTATTATTTGTTTTTTTATTCTGTTACAGAATGTTGCAAAACAT